ACTCATGAGTCAATAGGACAGAATAGAACTGACCCATAGGGTTTCCAAAGCTGTAAATCTTCACAAGCAGACTGGATTCTCTTTGTCCCATGGAGTGGTTGATAGGTTTGACCCACCTTTTGGTTAGCCCAAATGCTTTAACTGCTGTGCCACTAGAGCTCAGTAGTAATTAGAGAAATTAAAACTGTTAGGTGTTATATATAATAGCATATGTATGAAATGCATAAGTATAAATTTAAATCATTTAGGGTTTATAGAACTTATGGTAAACAAATAGTTGTATTCCTGTTGACATTGTAATATGCTCTTCAAATTGTACCAATCTAGCATTGTGTTACCGGTACCCAAAACCTCATCATAGCCTTTGACCTTTTAGGGAATTTATCCAAAACTAAACTGAAATAAAAAACCTTATCTTTTAAAAGCCACTCTTTTTACAAATATGTGTAATTATGGCTGTGGGTGCTATCAGTAATTCCAAAACCAACCTCAAGTCCATCTCTAGGCAAAAGAAAGAGACATAGAGATTGTATAGCTATAGATTATAGATCTTAAGTCTTTACAAAATAATGCCTTATGAAACTTACACAATAAATACATTTAAGAAATTTATGCACAGTAAAGAGGAAGATAAAAGTTGCTGTCATAAAAGTATGTATAGTATGATGCTGATCATACAGAAATTTATATATACTCAGGGAAAAGCCTGTTACGAAGTAAATTCATCATGGTGTTAGTAATGACTATCACTAGGGTAGTGAGAATATGTATGATTTTGGTTTGCTCCCAGAAGCAGGAGGGAAGAGTGTAAGTGATGGAGAAGACTAGAGAGATGGAATCAAGAGCAGAGGAGATACCTTCATAGTTGAATTTAGAAGAGTTAAAGATTGGTCTTCCTCTAACGGAGGAAGAAATAAGGTAGCAACAAAATTTTAGGGAGGTACCAAATTAAGACAACTCTGGATGCAATCTGATTTTAATGAAGTTGGTGGTGATCTGACCCAAATATATGATGAGTATGGAAGAGGTTATGAAGAGACTAAAATTTTTTTTAAAATACAGGGTCAGAGAGAGGTCCACTAGAAATCAATGAAAGATTTGCCAAGCAACATTAGGGTGGCAGTAGATCAATCTGTAGATAGTGTCTCTTGCGTGGGCTGAAGCCCATATTTAAGATCTGTCGACAGCAGTGTGTTTTACAAAAAGAGTAAAGTAAAGTTGTGGTATTTTCAGGCAATTCTGTGACTAACAAAGGTGCCTTGTTCTCCCTTAAAGTATGTGTATACCACATCTTTTTTCCTATAGTGCATGTCAGAGTGCTTGATATAGTATTTTATCTACTGGTTAATGCTGATTAGGTTATCTACATCAGTGTATGTTTTAGAGCTCACTACTAATGGTTTGTCAGACAACTCTTATCTACATGATAGTGGCTTCTAGGCTTGTAGGAAGCCAAGTGTGTCAGGAAAAAGAACATCGGAAGGGAAAGAGAAGGATTGAGTGTGAATGTTGTTATACATGGGTTAGGCTAAACAAGAATATAAGTAGTATATTGAAGACTAAGTGAAGTCTAGAAAGTACTGCAAGTTAAGATTAGGTAAAACAATAAACCATCATAAATTTATATAAACCAAACTCACTGCCGTCGAGTTGGATCCAACTCCTACTGACCCCTCCTTGGGTTTCCAAGGTGGTATCACTATGGAAATAGATTGCCCCACCTTCCTTCCACGGAGTGGCTGGTGGGTTTGAACCACCAGCCTCTGGTTAGCAGTCACATACCTTACGCGCTACACCACCAGAGCTCCATAAATTTATATATACTGAATCTCAATTTGCTTAATAACATTTCTTTGTATTTTCCAGAGTGGATTCAATTGCCCGTAAAAAGAACTTAATAGTGAAATCATGTCAGAGTGCAGATATCATTGAATTGCTTCATTACCACAAGTGTGACTCTCAATCATCAACGAAAGCAGAAACTTTGAAATGTTTGTTAAACCTGCAAATTCAGCATATCGATGCCAGGTTTGCTGTCTTCTTAACAGGTAAATTCACAGCTTGAATTCTGCCTGACTTTTATTACTCAGTTCAGCTCATACCAAAATAAGTCAGCTCGAGAAATACCCTTCCAAAAGTAGTCATTGGATACCATTAAGGTGAATCCGTCCAACCACTGGTAACCAATCAAGTTTAAACCTAGTCTGTTTTGATAAATCCATGTAACACTACCCCAATCCCAGCCTGACATGTGAGTTTTGTGTAGTAAATAATCCTTTAATATAGTTCTTTCCATTATGTTTACTCAGCTTCTACAAGTACTCATCCAATGTTATACTTACCCTCTATTTTATAATGTTTCTTATGTGAATCTTAATCAGACACTCCCCCCTCACGTTAAAGGAGCAAGTATAGTTGTCATTTATTGGTGATTTTTCTAAATTTATATGTTATGTGCCATTGAGTCGGACACAACTCATAGTGACCCCTCCTTGGGTTTCCAAGGCAGTATCACTACAGAAGTAGGTTGCCCAACCTTCCTTCCGAGGAGTGGCTGGTGGGTTTGAACCGCCAGCCTTCTGGTTAGCAGTCAAATGCCTTAGGCACTGTGCTACCAGAGCTCCCATAAATGTATATACTGAATCTAAATTTAGTTAATAGGGAGCTCTGGTGGCATAGTGCCTAAGGCATTTGACTGCTAACCAGAAGACTGGCAATTCAAACCCACCAGCCACTTCTCAGAAGGAAAGTTGGGCAATCTACTTCCATAGAGATTCCACGGGAAACTCAAGGAGGGGTCACTATAAGTTAGATCCGACTCGACAGCAGTGAGTTTGGTTTTCTTTTTGGAGGGGGGTATGTATTTTCCAGAATGGATTCAGTTGCCCATAAAAAAAGTTTATAGTGAAATCATGTCAGAGTGCTGTTGTTGTTATTCCGTCGAGTCGGACCCTACTCATAGCAACCCCTCCTTCGGTTTCCGAGGCAATATCACTACGGAAGTGGATTGCCCCATCTTCCTTCTGAGGAGTGGCTGGGGGTTTTGAACTGCCAGCCTTCTGGTTAGCAGTCAAGTGCCTTAGCCACTATGCTACCAGAGCGACACCATTAAATTGCTTCTTCCGGTGTGATCTCGTTCATCAGCCACATCCCCAGGTTGGAGGCAGCTATTCTCAGTTTCAAATATTTTTCTTAGCTTGAACCAGACAGCTTTTCTTTTCTATTTTCCATATGTATTAGTCTACATAAGATTTCTTTTTTAAACAGGAGTTCTGCTATTTTAAAAAAGTGTATCATTTGTGATATTTTCACATGTACACACAAATTTTTGTCTTTTTTTTTTTATAGATAAGCCTACAGTTTCCAGAGAGGTTTTTGAAAATAGTGGAATCCTTGTTACAGATGTAAATAACTTCATTGAAAATATACAAAAAGTAGCAGCTCCATTTAGGAATAGCTACTGGTAAGGACACTTTCTATACATTTCTCCCACTTGAGTAAATTGTTAACAGTAGATACTGGGGGGTGTGGGTGTGCCTGAGGAAACTAGTTGTTTCGAAATTCTGTTCTTTTACCTTACAGATTATGCTATAAATTTTAAATATTTATTTATTTAGGGACGGAATTGCTATTAGATTGTAATAAATGGGACTTTCTGGACTGTTGTTGTTGTTATGTGCCATCGAGTCAGCCCTGATTCATAGCGACCCCTCCTTGAGTTTCCGAGGCAGTATCACTATGGAAGTAGATTGCCCAACCTTCCTTCCAAGGAGTGGCTGGTAGGTTTGAACCATCAGCCTTCTGGTTAGCAGTCAAGTGCCTTAAGCACTATTCTACCAGAACTCAGAGTTTCTGGACTATCAATAAAATAACCAACTTACTTCAAATTGCCTACTTTATCCTAATGGATACATTAATGCTTTTCAGTTGAGCTGGATTGCCAAGACAAAAGATAATGTAGTTTTAAGATACCTGGAAGTTTTCCCCATTAGGTAGCTTGCCCTTTACAGTATTTCTTGGTTGTTTTGGTTGAAAGATAGAAATAGTATCAATTTTGTGTTTATCCAGGTGATTCAACTGCAGCTTGCCTAAAATATGGATGATGACAACAAATTACTGTTTCTCTTTTCTTTGGAAAACTTTGAAATACATGTGAACTGTCTTTTCATATTGGAAAAAAAAAAAAACGTTTTACACCATAGGGAAAAGTTTTCCTTTTTTTATATTTTGCTACAGTGTTTGACTTCACAGTGGTACAGTAGTTGTCCATCAGCTTTGGGTTGCAGTGTTAAATACTATTGTTTTAAATTATTTTCACCTTAAACAGAATGCCTTCAAAGCTGTAATTTAGCAGAATATTAAAAATAAGAAATTTACTCACATGTTTACTCAGTTGAAGCAAAAATAAGTCTATTTTAACAAATAGCTGTTTTTGCATGTTAATGTCAGTAAGGCCTATGTAATGCATGTATGTAATGGTTTGTTTAAAAGGTTTACCACCCCTGTAAAACCTATAATCGTAAATGAATTCATTTGCTGTTATTCAGGCAATACCAACACTACATAAAGTTAAACATTTTCCCCAAATGGTACAGATTTATAAACTGTCATTTTTCACTTACTCAGTTTTTGTAAATCAACCCTGAAAAAAAATCATATATTTATTTCTGACAGCAGAAATAATTCCTACAGTAATCTCTCACCAAGGCACACACACAAAAAAGTATAAGATACATAGTATCTATTTGGAACAAAGATTTTTGTAACTAATTTGTTTCCTTTTTTAATAAAGACAACTAAAAAAAAAAATCACTCCATGGTTTTTGCATTACTTTATAGCAAAATTGAACTTACAGGGAATGTGTTAACAGTTTTCAAATCATTTAGCAGGAATAACTAGCAATTTTGGCCTCCCTGTTTGTCTCACTACCAGAGACCTACACAGTGCTTTTGGGTATACTTTCCCCTCCCAAAGTACAGTACACAGAGTAACAATTGTACTTTTCCTCAGAAAAAGGAAATTTTAAGTTACTTATTCTCACTTGGCTTTATATAGGGTTGTGTCGTTGTTGTTGTTGTTATGTGCCGTCGAGTCAGCCCTGACTCAGCGACCCCTCCTTGGGTTTCCGAGGCAGTATCACTACGGAAGTAGGATTGCCCAACCTTCCTTCCAAGGAGTGGCTGGTGGGTTTGAACCGCCAGCCTTCTGGTTTGCAGTCAACTGCCTTAGCCACTATGCTACCAGAGCTCCCAGGGTTATGTTAGACTTATATTTTTCATAAGTCAGTCTGCTTTGTATAATTCCTCCCTAAATGAAAGTGCCAGTTTTACTATTTGTTATTTCCTCAGGAGGAGGAGGACTGATAGTTTTAGTTATTAATGCTGTCTTTGCATAGAAACCTGATTATTTTTGTCCCCAAGGACAAGAATCTAATAAAAGAACTCTAATTATATTTGGTATACTTATGCTTAATTTGAAATGACTTAAAGAAAAAGAAATTTATTTAAAAATTATTTAAGCACCTACTATGTACCAGGCACTGTCTGCTTCACATGGTCATCTTTCAAATTTTACCTCAAATGTTAATCTTCCATTGCTGAAAAAGCCTTCCGACACCCACAAAGCCATCTTCCTTAGTTTTCACACCACCTTTTCTTATAACTTTCTGAAAAAGTTAGCCAAACCATGTAATAATGTCCCCCAGAGACTGCCTTAATCATCTCAGTACCCCACTGGCCTGGTACATAAGTCAGTGTTTAATATACCCCCAACGGAACATTTGACAGTGCGTGGAGACATTTTTGGTTGTCACAACTGGGGAGGTATCACTGGCATCTACTAGGTAGAGGCCAGAGACGCTGCTAAACATCCTACAATGCATAGGACAGTCCCCCACAACAAACAACTATCCAGTTAAAATAATCACTTAGGCAGTTTGCATAATAGTCTAAAATATTAGTTTTCTAATGCCTTTAACAGATCATCTTCCTTAGTCTGTCTCCTTCATATACTTAACTGTAAGAATCAGTATTTTCAGTCGAAGAAAATACAGTTTAAATGTTCTCATTCATCTGTGGTAAGTATAGCATATACAGTGAGACATAACTACCAAGGTGAAAAGAGTACCAGTAAAAATTTTTCCTAAGGCTCTGGTAGTGTAGTGCCTAAGGCATCTGACTAACCAGAAGGCAAACCCACCAGCCACTCCTTGGAAGGAAGGTTGGGCAATCTAGTTCCGTAGTGATACCGCCTCAGAAACCGAAGGAGGGGTTCGCTATGAGTCGGATCCAACTCCATGCATGGCAGTGGGTTTGTTTTGTTTTTCCTAGGGCATAAATTACATGAAAATATTAAAACACTATTTATAATTACTGCTATAAGCAAATTTCAAAGGTAGTATATGGACTTATGTGGAAGAGAATAATTTTTCTAAACCATTATTAAGAATACTTGAGAGTCTAATAATTATATTGTGTTAAGAATATCATTTGGGATCTAAAATTAGAGAGTACAAAGAAAGTCTTAGCAACTGGGCATGGCTTTTTACTCTGGCTTCACTTTCCTGGCAAGTTTCAGCTCTATTGAAAGATACAAGCAGTAGCTGTATGATAGCCATTACAGTACTTAATAGGTCTTAAAACTTTTTATCAGGGCACAAAAAGGCCAATGAACAGGGTAGTGGTTTCCAGAGTTTGGCTTTATTTTGCAGTACAGAAATCATTTGGAGCCATTTTGAGGAAGACATCAATTAAGCAAAGGCTCTGTCAATACTGCATTGCAGCTTGGTCCATTAAGAAGCCACACCTGGGATACAAAAGATGCTTCTACATTTCACCTGCTTTATGATAGGTTTCTTTCCACTTTTCTTTCATCAATTTTATTAGAGTAAAATATCCTATGGAGCCATTAGGTTCCCCCTAATTTCATCCCAAAAGACTCCCAAAATCAGGAGTTTGGTTAGAATTCTATATCCACATGAGCCAAACTTAAAGCTAGTTTGGCTGTGCTATTTGGGCACTGTCATAATACTTCAGATAACACAAAATGTAAAGTTACAGGGAAAACTTTAGAGATGCTGTCCCATATTATAGGATATTTGATTTAGAATCTCCTTAATGTCAAGAGGACAGAGGGCACACAAATTATACTAATCAGCTCTTCAGTAGCAGAAGCAAGTAACTGCAGAGGCTATACTGATTAAAAGATACAAATACTGTATCAGGTTCTCTGTATCAGTATCACAATGTTTTTTTAAAACTGATTCTTCACTGGGGAGGGGGGTATATAGCCAGTATTGGTTAAATTGAACATAATATGGTAACCTGCCAATTCTGAATAGACACTCCATGATAAAGAGTTAGTACATGATATTAAAAAGATGAAGGGGAGGAATATTTACTGGTACAGTACTCTTCAGTCTTTTGATTACAAAAGCAGGCTTTACAATATTGATTTCATACAATATGCATTATTTGCCAAATCTTAAATTTTTTCTAATTAGATAATAACATGCTGCTGTTAGTCTTCCCCATAGATGTCATTTTTCTTGCGTTTCATTTCTTCAAAGTCAAACTCTGATCCTGTCATCCTCTTATAGATGTTTTTAATGTCATCACAGGTCGTCTCAAAGTGAGTGGTAGCATCGTAAGTACGGGAAATAAAAATCTGG